ATGAGATTCTTTAGGTCTGGGGACTAAGGTACGTGTGGGAAGGTGTTAGGCACTCCACACACGCCTGGTTAATCGGCCTCTAATTAACCAATATTCCAAGGATGATTTAATATAACTTTTGGGCTGAAGAATTAAAATTACCACGCACTAATAACAAGAAGAGAAAGAAAATAACTATATCATACTAAATTAACCAAGAGAGAAAAACCTATGACCTAACAATTAATGAAGCGGAATCCTAAATGGTCTTGGGCGAAGTAAAACAAAAGAAATGGAAGATGATGTCCTATATTCTAATGCATGCCATGGTAAGATAAATTTTGATTAACAAAATCTCAACGTTTAGAATAGAGAAGACAAATGCAGCTATAGAAGTGATGGAACCTACTCATTAAATTAAACATGACACATGTAATGATTTGAATGAAGTGCTCATAATTAAAAAAGAAAACAAAAGATAAGCAAAAAAACTAACAATACCGTAGAGTCCTACGTATGTATCTATTATTATGAATGAAGAAATTCTAACAATACCGTTATGCAATTCAGCCTATAAAGATGAACTAACACGTGATTAAATTGAGAGATCAACATTAATTGATGATTGGATGAGAAGAATTTTAAAACTAATTATTTGGCAGTTGGCACATGATATCATAGCTACCTTGAGAATGCAACTCACGGGTATGGTTGTATCTCTTTACCCCATTATTTTCTCTTCATGCAAGTCCAAAGGTACTCTTTCATGAAGCAATGCATAACCTCAAGAGTTGCTCCAGCTTGGAAATTCTTAAATGGAGAGCCTTGAATCATCTTCAATTCATTCTTGGATAAGGTATGTGGTCCAAGTGGTGAAGAAAGATTGTTGGTTGCTTGTTTCTGCACTATTGTTGCTTCAAGAGTACTTCAAGCTTTTTTTTCATGAATTGAGGCACGACCCAAGAGTGTTCCTTGGCTTCAAACTGGTATGGGGGAGTTTTAGGAATGCTGGAGAGTGAGTGGGGAGGCTTTGGGACATGGGTAATGGCTGTGAGAGTGTGCTTAGGACGTGAAGAGAGTGTTCTCTAGGCTATGGGGGTAGAGTTCTCTCCGCATCTTAGATTGTGTCTAGAATGTGAGAAAATGGTGGTATTTATAGATTTTTTGGGAGGATTCTAGAAGAGAATTAAGGGCTAAGATTGGGAGACAAAGGGGATCAAATGCTAAGGTTTAAAAGGGTTGTTAGAAGGAGATTGATTGAGAGAATGGGCTGTCAAGACAACTTTGAGAGAGATTTCTCAATCAATAAAGACAATGAGTGGAAGATTTTACTAATTTACCTAAATTGGACATTCCAAGTTTAGGTGATCGGCTTGATTGATTGAAGGCTCTTAGCTGGTCAAATCTTTGATTTTAAGATGGTTCTAGAGGTTGGGAGAAAGGTTTGGTCGTGGGATACCCTAGGCTCAAAGTTGTAATGAAGGAGATTCCAAACGGAAGGCCTAGATTGGGTCTAGCTTTGGGTCTCATGATGGAGGGGTTATCGGCGTTGGAATTGGATGATTTTGGTACTGTTGGACTCCGAATTTTGAGCTATATCCATCTACAGGGCTGGATTTCATATTTCATGGGCATATGGTTCAGGATAAAAAATGACCCCGATTGAATGATTGAAATCGATTCCGGCTTCGAGTCTTGAGATGAAGGGGTAAACGGTGTCGGATTTGGGAGATATTGGTGTCATTGGATTTGGATTGTATGCATAACCTATGGTTTTAGGTTTCTGATTTGGTGTGAAATGAGGTTCAAAGTCAAAATGACTCTGATCAGACGATCGAAATCGGTTTTGACTTCGGGTCTTAAGATGAAGGTGTAAACGGTGTTAGATTCGGGTGATTTTGGTGTCATTGGATTTGGATTTTTGGGCTCTACGTACCTATGGTCTCATATTTCTGGTTTAATGCGAAATGAGGTTTATGGTCAAAATGGCTTCAATTGGACAATCGGAATCGGTTTCGACTTTGGGTCTTAGGATGTAAGGGTAAATAGTGTCAGATTCGAGTGATCTTAGTGTTGTTGGGTTTGACTTTCTGGGCCCTACGTACCTGTGGTCTTGGATCCTTGAGGCCCCAAATTTTATAAAATTCCAAAAATACCCCCAAGTCGACTAAGAGGTTAGCAAAAGAATGCTTGAAACTCAAAGTGCTATAGAAAGACTAAGGAGCACAAAAATAGGGTGTCTACATACCCGATACCAATCCTTTAATTCTTGGTTATAACGTATTGATACAGTTTTTTTTTTGTTAGCAGATTTGACCTCAATTTAACTGACAAATGAATTATTTGGCCTGGATATGGTGACAACAAATTTTTTTTCAACACGTTCGAACATGATATGTGTCTATACATCGAGTTCAAATCAGCCCCTCACAATATCGGGAGATGTTTCGAATACACGGTGGGATGTGCTGTGGGACATTGTGGGGGGCAGTTTTGTGAGGGCTGATTCGGTCTCCTACACATCTTGTCATAAGATTAGGATCATTGTAAGATTGGGTTCCACCACGGGAAGATGTGCAGATGTTGGAACGAATTGGAAAAGTATTTTGTTGTGAGAAACAAAAAAGAAAGATCCCAGCTCCATTCAAGTTGGGATCACATCCTATGAACCTAAGCATGTACCCTTGAATGAGAGACAAACACGTCATGCCAATAAATGAAATATTCGGCTAAATATAGTTACAACAATTTTTTTTTTCAATACATTCCAACATGATCTGTATCCACACATCTTACCATTAGATTGGGGCCACTATAAAATTATAAAATTGGAACCCACCATGGGAAGATGTACAGATCCTAGCTCCATTCGTGTCATCTATTTTAACCGCGAATAAATGGGGAGTCTCCATGAAGAGAACTTGGATTCTCACTTTCAAGAACAAGCCCCTGCCTCGGTTGAAGCGAACTTCTCAGAATTTGCCACTTATGTTCACCGAGCAAAGCCCACAAAGCCGAGAAGGAATAAGCCTCAAATGGGTTTTCTTTCTTTCTTAATTCTTTATTGTATAGATGGTTCTACTTTCCATGGTCTCTTCAGTATTCTAGAGTTTTTTATTTTGTTTGATGTGAGTTACAGTCTTTGGAGAGGACATTAGATGCCCTAGTAGATGACTATTACTTGAATATGGTAGCAACAAAGTTTTAGTCATTGTCGTTGGTAACATGGTGTATTTGTAGATGCTTTTGATGGGTCTACTTTTGAATTTGTCACCATTGATGATGAGAATGGTCCTGCAACAAGTGTCAATTGGGCTTGCGACGGACGACAAATTGCAGTTGGCTTGAACAATTCCGAAGTCCATTTCACTTGAACACTACATATTCCAACCAATCGAGATGTTTTTCCAATACAAGGTTGGGATGTGTTGTGGGGCATTCTAAAAATCGTGGATGAGGCAATTAAAAGCTTCCACCACCCATAAAATCAGAGAGGGGCATGCCATGTGGTTCTTGCTTTGACTATGAGTTCGAGGTGAGATCAACTTCAGTTAGTGCAAGGCCCGTCCGAACAACCTTGCATTAGGAACATCTCCGTACTTTTGTGCTTTATTGCATGGAGCTAATGCAAGGCTATAATGATTGTTGTAACGGGCTTTGCATTGATTGAATTCATTTCGTGCGAGGTTACCTGCAATGAATACTGGTGGGTACATACACTTGCCTGGTGTTTGAACTCGGATTGTAATTTAATGTGTTTTTTTTTCTCAATTACACCAGTTGAATTTATTTTAGGAAAAATTCCCGATTAGTACTCTATACTTTGGGTTTAGTGTTACTTTGGTCCCCAAACTTTAAAATGCGACAATTCAATATCCAAACTTTCAAAATGTGACAATTCAGTATCTGCCGTTAACTAGCTATTAATTAGCCATTAGCGACATTTTAAAAAGATACAAATGCCCTTTGAGTGTCATCTAACTTTCTTTGTCAACTATCCATCCAAACATTGACAAAAAAAATTAATAATCCTAAATCGTTGCCTCTTCTATTCAAGAAAGTTGGTGCCACTAGAATGTCCACTTAAACTTGAATGGAAGAAGCAAGGATTTGAGATTATTAATTTTTTATCAATATTTAAATGGTTGATAAAGAAAATTAAATGACACTGGAAAGACATTTGTATCATTTTCAAATGTGACTTAACGGCAATTTAACTGCTGATTAATAACATGTACTAGATTGCCACATTTTAAATGTCCAACATTGAATTATCACATTTTAAAATTCGGGGACAGCATAGGAAATTTTTCCTTTATTTTAGAAATAGTGGAAGGTAAATTTTACATTTCGTTTTTAATGTTTTCCGTTAATGGTTAAGGAAAATGTGAATTGTCAAAAACAGTATAGCTAGAATCCAGTGGACATGCATGCAACCTTCCAATAAAGTTAAGACATTTAAGAGGCAAACTAGCGGAGCTCTTCATTTAACAGTGAGTCTAATGGTTGGACCGGGTTCTCATTCGAACTTCCCCTTCCCCTCTCTCTCATCTAAACCCTAGTAGTGATCAGACCTCGTCGGGCCACGTGCAACGTTCGAGAACAGAGAGACTAGTGGCAACATTTTTCTTCTTCCCCAGATTAGTAGCAGAATAGAATAGAGAGGGAAGGTAAATCTTTGAATCTTTTTTATTCTCTTTAAGAGGTTGAGGTTGTTAACCCCACAACCAGAGCATATTTCCCATATTATTAATTTAATTGAAAAATGACGAATAACATGAATCTAACTTGCCCTACAAATTAAAATTAATTACAACTTTACATTTTATATAGACAATCATGGATTTTGTCCCTTGCAAAAATACTAAAAATTCGTTGGATTCAAATAATCTTCATAATACATTAAATGAAGAGTCCCGTTAGTTTGCCTCTTAAATGTCTTTAGGCGACGTGTTCAAACTGTATTGGAAGGTGAACGCTTCCCGTGGACCGACGGGTCCACTGGATTCGAGCCCGAAACAGTATACACTATACAGTGACTCAGTGAGGGTAGAGTTAACGAAAAGAACACCCAAAACCCCATTTTCAAGCTTATAGAACACAATTTGGCCTTCCCGCCCGTTATCAGTTCACCGGCGACCAACGTCAACCGACGTCCGTTGGCAAAACACCAACCGCCGACCGACGGTAATCTCCTCCTCCTCCTTCTCCTCCTCATTCTTCTTCTTCTTCTTCTTCTTCTTCTTCTTACCTACAAACTCAGTTCTCTTTATTATTATTTTCCTTTTGAATGCTTCGTTCTATAACCGGCGGTACCCTGACAAATACAAGCTTTCTGTTGATAGATTTGAATTGGGCAACTTCTCGAATTAATTGGTGTGGAATAATTTCTGTAGCCCTTTTCTTTTCTTTTATTGCTTCGGGCATGTGGAGTATGGTTTTAAATCTTTCGTTTTGATTTTGATATAAGAACTGAATCTTTTCTGTGAATTTTAAATGGAATATTTGTGTTGTTTTTTTTTTTCCACATATTTTATTGTAGTTTTGTTGACAAACAACTGGTGTGGTGACTTCAAACTTCTTCTCTCTCTGTCTGTTGCTAATTAGATCGGGCCTCAGAGTTTTGTACTCCATTGACTGACTTACTGTCATCATCTTGTGCAACAAAAACAGCCTCAAGCAAAGTTTCATTTATTTGGGGTTGCCTTCGCGAATGCAATTTCTGGGGTAAACTCTGTGAAAGATCACGATTCATGTCATCTGTTAAACTGTGAGTCCCAACTCATATATGTTGATGCAGGAAATCCAAAGGTAGCTCGTGACTTGTGTGCTGCTTCCCTTCATTGTTTGCTGCCTACCATTTATTCGTCAAAACTTCCAGAAGGTGCTAATGTAGTTAATGTAGAAAATGCATCAGATCACAAGATTGAAGAAAATGATCCCGCGTTTGGTTGCTAGCCGTGGAGGAACGCCCCAAACAATCTTTCATTCGTTATTAGTTGATGACCTGGGTATTACCAGAATACCAGTTTGTTCTCTTTCTTCCTCCTCTGCATCTTCCGATGAGACCGACATGTTTGACCGGTTAAATCATAAGGACTGGTTAGCACCCAATGAAGTTCTAAAAATCTTCAGAAGGCTGAAAAATCCAGAATCAATTATTAGTGCCTTGGAAAGGATCTCCAAGCGTATGGACTATAAGCCCAATGAGGCTTTTTACACGTTGGTCATTGAGAAGCTTTCCCAAGGAAAGAAGTTTGATGCCATTGATGATGTCTTGAAGAGGATAAAAACTGAAAAGAATTGCAGGCTCTCTGATGGTTTCTTTTATGGTGTAATCAAAATTTACGGCAACGTGGCTGGTATTTTGAATAAAGCGATAGAGACCCTCTTCAGTATGCCAGAGTTCAATTGTTGGCCTGAGGTTAGGACTTTCAATCTAGTGCTTAACATGCTTGTCTCGGCCAAACAGTTCGATGTGATTCATGAAGTGTATTTAGGTGCTTCTCAATTGGGCATTGCTGTTGATGCATGCTGCCTTAACATTCTCATCAAAGGTTTGTGTGAATGTGATAAGTTGGACGCAGCCTTTGCCTTGCTTGATGAGTTCCCCAAACAGGGCTTAAGGCCTAATGTGAAGACATACTCAACTTTGATGCATTATCTATGTGAACATGGTAGAGTAGATGAAGCATTCAAGCTGAGTGAGAGAATGGACAGAGAGGGTTGCCATCCTGATACGATTACATTCAATATACTGATTCAGGGGCTTTGTAAGCAAGGGAGAGTGGACGAGGGTAAGGAACTTCTAGACAGAATGAGACTTAAAGGATGCTACCCTGATTTGGGGTCCTATCAACAGGTTTTGTATGGCCTACTCAGTTCCGGGAAGTTTGTGGAGGCCAAGTGTTTCATTGAATGGATGGTTTCCAAGGGTGTGTTTCCGAGTTTTCGGTCCTATAAGTTGGTGCTTGAGGGGCTGCTTCAGGAAAACCTATTGGAAGATGTGGATTCGATTCTAAAGCAGATGGTACAGCGAGGATTTGTACCAAGGATGGGAATATGGAATAAGATTCTTAAGAGCATGTTTCAAGGGACAAACAGCTATAGTTGCATTTCTTACTCTGAAATTATTTATGAGTAGGCTTACAACAAGAGGGTCTATACTCTGGCAGGTTAAACCCTTTTCCAGCAAGGTAAATCTTTTATACTTTCTCAACAGATTTTCAATACTCCATTAAGTTAAATAAGGATTTGAGTGTGTTTTTTAGTTATTGTGTGTAGGTCTCCACATAATGGCATAAGTTGGTTTTTTTCTTTGAATCTTTGAATTTCCATTTTTCTGTTGGCACTGTCACATTGCTTGAGTGTGGTTTTTTATGTTCCAAATAATGGCATAAGGATTTGAGTTTGGCTTTTTTCTGTTTGATTTGTTGGCGCTGTCACATTGCTTGAATGTTCTAGGGTTCTATCCAATTTCATGCTGAAATGTGGTGGAATGAAATGGCCAAAAAAAATAATGATTGTTTGAGAACTGCTTTATTCATTACCCCTTTCTCTGACCCATATACTTAACAAAGCTTTAAATGCTTGGTTTGATTTACCATCTGTCATGTTATCAGTATTAGAATGTGGTTCTAGAAGATTTATTCATATTGATTTAAGAATTTTCACCTTGGGAATTCTTCAATGTCATTCCATTACTTGCATGCCGTGGTTTTTGTGCCACAACAATCCAACACATGGAGGGACCAATTTTTGGCCCTTACTGCTTGCGGGTGTTGTTGCTTTATAGTATGTTGGATTTTATTTTTATTGGTTATTTGTTTTATTTAATTATCAAGTTAGCAACATGTATTTGAAGGTGGTTTAAAAATTTTAAGACATCATAATGTGGGGTGTATGGTCTTTTTCTTTTAAGAGACTATGCATGTAGGAAGACTTTAAAAACTTGATTTTATATGGTTTGATCTGAAGAAATGGTCTTCCAAAACTGTGCAATCCAAACATCATTTCTATTTCTGTAGAACAAAAGCATGTTTGATGTTTCTCAGGAATATTCTACCAAACTCGTCATTTGTTTCTCAGAAATAAAAAACAAGAGAAATGCTCTGTAACAGAAATTTTCTCGGCAACATAAATGAACAGAAATGATGCCAAATGGGGCCTTAGCAGCAGATGGATCCTAGACAGAAATGTTTCAACAGGAAATTTAAGAGAACTCCCTTGGATGAGCGGAAAATCCTGGGAATTCAAAAATTGCATATAAAGCATAAGATTTATAGATTTATTTAGTCATATCTCACCCTCTTCAGATTTGTAAAAGTGCATGGAGGTTCTCTCTATGTTTCCTTATTTCACTTTGGCCTTTTACTGCTGCAATTTTACTGTTAGGTGTAGCATAACAAGAAGGAACTAATAAGAATGACACTAAAGGACTAGGGCCCATTTGGCCCAGTCTCTCTACACTCCCACTCAAGCTGAGCATAGATATCAATCATGCCCAACTTGCTTATATAGTGAACCAACTTTCTTTTAGGAACACCTTTTGTCAAAACATCAGCCAACTGTTTTTCAGAAGCAACAAATGGTAGGCAAACTTCTCCTGAGGCAACTCTTTCGTATAAAATGCTTGTAAATTTCAATGTGCTTAGTTCTGTCATGTTGAACAGGATTATGTGTAATGTTGATAGCAACCTAGTTGTTACAATATAACATCATTAGCTTCTCACAGTCTATACCAGTTTTTCTAAAAGTGACATCAACCACAAAAGTTTAGAAACTCCATGTGCCATTGCCTTGCTTCAGCTGAGGATCTTGCCACTATAGACTGCCTCTTACTCCTCCATGATACAATGTTCCCTGCTACTATAGCACAATAACCTGAAGTGGACCTCCCATCATCAATACATCTGGCCCAGTCAACATTAGTGTATGCTTCCAACTTCATGTGTCCATGCTTAGCAAACAATATACCTTTCCCTGGAGTCCCTTTTAGGTAGCACAAAACCCTCTCAGTAGTTGCTAAATGTGTATCTCTGAGAGAATGCATAAACTAGCTAATTACACTAGCTGCATAGGAAATATCTGTCTGAATCATACAAAGGTATAATAACTTCCCAACCAGTCTCTGGAACACTCCCTTATCAGGCAACAGTTCACCTTCAGTAGCTGGCAACTTATGATTTAGGTCTATAGGAGTAGAAGCAGGTCGAGCACCCAGTTTACCAGTATCTGCAAGAAGATTAAGAACATACTTCCGCTGAGAAATGAAGAGACCATACTTAGATTTGGCAACTTCAATTCCCAAGAAATATTTGAGTTCCCCCAAGTCTTTAATTTCAAGCTTAGTGTTAAGAAAACTTTTGAGATGAACAAACTTTCTGGGTGTCATTACCAGTAACCACAATATCATCAACATAGACAATCAGAAGGGTCACTAAGGAATCTCTTCTCTTAACAAACAAGGTATGATCCGATTGAGTCTGTGTGTACCCAAAAGCAACAAGAGCAGCCCGAAATCTGTAAAATCAGGCTCTAGGAGATTGCTTAAGGCCATAAAGAGATTTCTTCAGTTTATAGACCTTTCCTTGCATCTCCTTCCCATACACCCCTGGAGGTAAAGACATATACACCTCTTCATGTAGGTCCCCGTTCAAGAAAGCATTCTTTACATCAAACTGATGAAGAAGCCAATCAAAAGTAGTAGCTAAAGATAGCAAAACTCGAAATGAAGCCATCTTGGCTACTGGGGCAAAAGTTTCCAGGTAGTCAATACCATACATCTAAGTATACCCTTTAGCAACCAAACGGGCCTTATATCTCTCAACAGTACTGATGTAACCGTTTTTGGTCACGTACCAATTTTTTTTCATGATGTATCAATTTTGGCTAAATACTTCATCATTTGACCTGCTTCCAGGTGGTCTATGACTCAGAGGATGATGGAGCTCCCTGGTGGTGAGCTACTTGGTGGCGAACTCCCTGATGGTGAGCTACTTGGTGGCGAACTCCCTGATGGTGAGCTACTTGGTGACGAGCTCCCTGGTGGTGAGCTACTTGGTGACGATCTCCCTGGTGGTGAGCTACCTGGTGACGAGCTCCCTGGTGGTGAGCTACTTGGTGATGAGCTCCCTGGTGGTGAGCTACCTGGTGACGAGCTCCTAGGTGGTGAGCTACTTGGATGAGTTGCTGGGTGCGCTGCCTTGTTGGCGAGCCTCCTAGTGTAGTTTTACCCGACTGCCCTCTGCATGAGATGATTTGCTCCTCCTTGTAGTCGGCGGGAGCCGATGAACCTGCAAGAACTGAATCAGAGGACCCAGGGGTGTTTACCCGGCGGGGCCACTCCGATGGCTAAGTTAGCACTCTGATAGTAGAGAGCTTGAAGATGATATTAGAGAAATGAGAGCGCTAGAGAGCAGGGGTTACCTCCATTTTTCATCCTCTTTTTCCTTTGGGGGGTCGGAGCTCTTATATAGCGGTGTCCTGGCAGATCTGGCGTAACTGCCTCTAACTCTCTGCCGCAGCCGTTACTTGCCAGGGTTGAGTTGGTGGGCGCAGGTAACCGTTGCAGGGTACGGCCCTACCAGACATGAGGCGTTGTCAGAGTTGGCAGGCACGCCGCCGCCTGGCCAGAGACGTGGGTGCAGTCTCCAGATCTGGCAGGTACGGTTGTCAGGTAGGAAATCTTCTTGCGATACGCCGAGCTGCCCCTAAGTGGCGAGTTACCTATGCTGAGCTGCCTGTAAGTGCCGAGCTGCCCCTAAGTGCCGATCTCTTCGTAAGACGCCAGCCTGCTTGTGACGAGCTGCCTGTAAGTGGCGAGCTGTCTGTAAGTGGTGAGCTGCCTGTAGGTGCCGAGCTGCCCCCAAGTGGCGAGCTACCTATGCCGAGTTGCCTGTAAGTGTCGAGTTGCCCCTAAGTGGCGAGCTCTTCGTAAGACGCTAGGCTGCCTGTGGAGTGGCCAGTTGCCTATGCTGAGCTGCCTGTAAGTGGCGAGTTGTCTGTAAGTGGCGAGCTGCCTGTAGATGCCTAGTTGCCCCTAAGTGGCGAGCTCTTCGTAAGACGCCAGGCTGCCTGTAAGTGCCAAGCTGCCCCTAAGTGGCGAGCTACCTAGTTGTCAAGAGGCTGCACTTATTTGGCATGAGGTGCTAGGTGTCATAATTTCACTGGAGGGCCAAATCCGTCCTCATCATTGGCCCCCCACTCCCGAGCCGAGAGCAACTCAGTGAAGGGAGTAGATTTCTCCTTTTGGCCCGTAAGTCGACGAGCTAGTAAGCGCTGATCCAATTTCTTAGGCTCTGGGAGCTGCCTGTAAGTGGCGAGCTGCCTGTAAGGTGAGGAGGTCTCCGCCTTTTCAGTACTGTAGCCCTTAGGCTCTGGGGGCAACTTATAGTCCACTTTTGCTGATTTTGCCCATGCTGAAGAAGCGAATGGGTCTTAAGCAGTAATGTGGCCCGTATGCTTTGGGAGCGACTCGTAGTCCACTCTTCTTGACTTTGCTCATGCCAAAGAGGCGACTGGGTCTTAAGCAGTTGTGTTGCCCATGCCGTAGAGGCGATTGGGTTTTTCAGTAGTAATGTTGCTCGTAGGCTTTGGGAGTGATTTGTAGTCCACTCTTCTTGACTTTGCCCATGCCGAAGAGGCGACTGGGACTTATGTGGTGTCGGGCTGACCAGGTGCCGAGTTACCTGTGAGGTGCCGAGCTACCTGTGAGGTGTCGGGCTGATCGGGAGCCGAGCTACCTGTGAGGTGCCGAGCTGATCGGGTGCCGAGCTACCTGTGAGGTGCCGAACTAACCAGGTGCCGAGCTACTTGTGAGGTGCCAAACTAACCAGGTGCCGAGCTGCTTGTGAGGTGTCGGGCTGACCGGGTGCCGAGCTGACCAGGTGGGTGCCTTAGACCTATGATTGCGCTGCGTCAGCCTCGTAATGCCGATCACCTACTCCTACAAGAAGCTACTAGGAACTCGACCTTCGGGGGCAGCACTACTAACTTTAGGTCGCCAGCTCACACGGGAGCCTTGGAAGGCTCGACCAGCAAGGGCGCCCGTGCAGTCTATTGGCCGCCAACTCCCGCAGAAGCCACAAAGAGCTCATCTTTGTAGGGGGGACCTCATGAAGAGAACTGACGAGGTTTTTTCTGAATTGAAAGTAAAGTTAGTAGAGCTGCTTAGCCTGTTAGCTCCCTGCATAGT